TTTTATCGTTTTTGGAGATAGTTGGCGCCGGGGCTGCTTCATGACCATCAATCCATCCAAGGAGGAGATTAGCTGAAAGAGCTGTCTGGACATTGAGAGACCATGCCGGATAATTTGTTTCGGTGAGTTTTTCTGGGATTAAGTTGTGGAGACTCCGAAGCAAAAGTTTTACTCCGGAGGGTAAGGACGCCAAAGGATCTGACGGGGCTGCCATGATGGGCGGCGGTCGGAAAAAAAGAGAGGCTAGGTTTTTGAGAGCCTTAGCTCTGATACCATGATACAATTTGATAATAACTTGTCTTATTGAATATTGAGAGATATGGCTCTATATATAGGGAATACAAGAGTAATCAAAGTACAAGTAGGAAAGGAAAGAATAATCCTAGTAGGAAAGGAAAGAAGTATCCTAATTTAATTATACTTCCTAATAATCACACTACGTACCATCATTTACACTCGCAAATTTCTATTTGTAGGATAAAAATATATACCTACTCTTAAATAGAAACATTTCATTTCGAATAACCTTTCAATTTACTTTTTTTTAACATGAAGGTTGAGTGGAAGAGACGATGCAGCTCAACGCTCATTCATGAGAAATTGGATCAACACCCACATTTATGATGCAGAGAAGACTCTTAAGAAGCCCCTCGTCGTAGCAGAGTTCGGGATGAACAGTTCGGTCCCCGGATTCAGCGTCCCGAAGAGGGACATGTTATTCACCACCGTTTACTCGGCCATTTACAACTCCGCGAAGGGCGGCGGGGCGGCGGCCGGCGGGTTGTTCTGGCAACTGTTTACGGAGGGCATGGGTTCGTTCGACGACGGGTACGAGGTCATATTGAGCCAGAGCGCCTCGACGGCAGAGGTCATCCGGCGACAGTCAAACGCGATGGGCGAACTTAGTAAAATGTTTGCCAGGGTGAAGAAGATGGAAGAAGAGTGGACAAAGGAAAATAACGATGGCAATTGAAGAGTATAAAATCTCTCTTTTTTTCGAGGAAAAGGTTTTCTACTCCTAGCCACGAACATTTATTTAATGGTCTGTTATAGTTTTTGTTTATGAAACATATATAAACTATATATGTATGAATTCCTTATTCTAAACCCTATCATATCACAATAGCACAATTTTCTGGTGTGTATTCATTTCGGATTTTAAGTGATTATGACAGATTTTGTATAATCCATTGATTATGACGTTATGTGGAATTTAAAATAATGAAAAACCCTCCACTTACTTTATTTATTACACCTCACATATCTTACTCATTAAGGGTATTATACATGGTAAACTTTCACTTTTTTCCAACTCTCCTTAAAACCATAAAAAATCAAAGTGAAATTTGCACTAAATAGGACTAAAACATAATGACTTTTCTAATATAGGACTTAAACTTTTGTATTCCCTAAATAGGACTTAATAATGACCTAGTGAGAGGATTAATGTCCAGTAATGATGGATGGACATTTACTTGAATAATGACTACTTTATAATGACCAAAGGTCCTACATTGGGAAATAAAAACATATGGTCCTATATTGGGAAAGTCATTATGTTTTAGTCCTATTTAGGTAAATTACTCAAAATCAAAACGAAAAGATCTTAATGGGATGAAGGGAGTATTTAATATATTCATGTAGTTACCTAGTTTTGAACTATCATATTTTTTAATATATAATACTCTATTTTTAAACATAAATAAATAAACTAATGTTTAATATGTTGCATTATAGACTGTGACGACTAGCTAGTACTCCCTCCGTTTCTTAAAATCCTTCCTCTTTCATTTTTTTGTTTTTTTTTAAAACACTTCCCTTTTCTATTAAAAAACCACTTTTACCCCTACTTTTTTCATACCCTACCTATCACATCAAACTTTTTCACTAATAACTAAACTATCACATCTTACTTTTACCCATCACATCAAGGGCAAAATTGGAAAGTCAACTACAATTTAACACTTTCTTATTTTCCACCAAAGTCAAAATAGGAACTCTTTTGAGAAACGGAAGGAGTAGTAGTGAAAGAAAAATATGAGACGGCATGAGTAATACCCAGCATATACCACTACTACTTGTACTATATACTCCCTCCGTCCCAAAAAGTTTGTTACGTTTAGAAAAAACTGCGTCCCGTAAAGTTCGTTACATTTCTATTAAAAAACCACTTTTACCCCTTACTTTTCCATACCCTACCTATCACATCATACCTTTTTCCTAATAATCTACTCATCACATCCTACTTTTACCCATCACATCAAGGGTATTTTTGGAAAGTCAATACCAAAATATCCCTCCCTTAATTTCCCAAAAAGTCAAACCGTCCCATTCTTTTTGGGACGGAGGGAGTATATATTTACATTATATTGGGGTTTGCAATGAGAACCTTTCTTCATATCCTAGTGTTCCTGTTACAATTTCTAAACAACAATCAAACGAATTTTATAACAAATTAGCAGAGGAAATTAGGCATGTTAATTATTTTGGAATGTAGCAAATCAAAATTATGTGGAAGCTAAAATAAGTAATAAGAATAAGTTGAAGGGAACAAACTTTATGTGTGAGATTTACACTAAATAATACTAAAACATAAGTCATTTTCTAATATAGTACTTAAACATTTGTATTTTCTAAATAGTACTTGAATAATGTCTAGTAGCGGGAATTCAATAATGTTCAGTGATGATAAACGTTTAGATTGAACAATATTCAGTGGCGGTAGACATGTTCTTGAACAATGACGTACCAGTGAACAATAACCAGTGGTACTACATTGGGAAATAAAAATGTATGGTACTACTTTGGGAAAGTCACTATATACTCCGTATATTTTGGTACTATTTAGGTAAATTTCCCACTTAATATCTTAACCCTAATTCATCTTATCTTCTTCTCTCTCCGGCTCCACGCACGCACCGCCACCCTTCTTCCTCCCTGTTTAATTAGCAACCGCACCCATGTCGCATCCTTCCCCTCTCTTTCATGCACCCCGAGACACAGTCGTCCTGCAACGGCTATCGGTCATCCTTGCGGCGACATTGCAGCTCGCCAACGTAGTTCAGGAAACATTTTTATATTCTAATAAGTCCCCTTAAGCGTGTGGCTCCTTTGAACCCTGCATGTGCAAGCACAATTTTTTTAAAACAAGTTGGGTGATGGGGTTTTGACATAGTGAAATTTGCACTAAATAGGAATAAAACATAAGTCATTTCTCAATGTAGGACTTAAACTTTTTTATTCCCTAAATAGGACTTAATAATGACTAGTGAGAATAATAATGTCCAAGTGATGCTGGACATTTAGTTGAATAATGACTGATAAATAATGACCAATGGTCCTACATAGGGAAATAAAAACATATGGTCTTATATTGAGAAAGTCACTATGTTTTAGTCTTATTTAGGTAAATTACCCGATACTACACAAAAGTAATGAGGGAGAAGAAGTAATATTTACGGTATTATTTATTCATTAAACTTTGATAAAATTTCTCGAGGCTATGGATAGCTCCACCAGTCCACCTTGTCTTTTTAGTTAGTCTACGCTTCTTTTTTTCTTTTATATGTCTTTTTAAACAAAAGTTTTTAAAAGAATTAAAACAATACTCCGGTGATCGATCCGTATGTGTGAAAGAAATATTTTGTCCCCAACTACTAACGACTTTTTTTTCTCTAAATTGTGTGAATGTTGACGTTTCGGTTGGCCTTGTGGATAATGGGGTGATGGGGCTTGGCTTTTTAGCCCGTACCCGTCACGGTGTGTTCGTTGCGGGGAAAAAATATGATTGTTCATGGGAGTTTTGGAGATCAAAAATGTAAAATTTGCACTAAATAAGACTAAAACATAATGACTTTCCCCATGTAGGACTTAAACTTTTTTATTACTTAAATAGGACTTAATAATGACCTAGTGGGAGGAATAATGTCCAATAATGATGGACATTTACTTGAATAATGACTTTTGATAATGACCAAAAGTCTTACATTGGGAAATAAAAACATATGGTCCTATATTGGAAAAGTTATTATGTTTTAATCCTATTTAGGTAAATTTCTCATCAAAAATTTAAAAGTTGAAATTGGTTCCAACGCCGCTAATTAAGCCAAAGACAGCTGGTTATTATTACCCGCTACTACTCCCTTCGTTTCAAAAAATAGTTCCACTCTATTATTTTACGTATTCTACAAAATATTTTTACACCTACCAAAAATCTTAGTTAATATCCCTCATTTCTCTTATATTGCGATAATAATCATTTTAAAGTTATTTTAGACATTTTAGGTAAGAAAAAAATATTTTTGTGGGATAAAATTAGGATAGAAATGTTTTTCGAAACGGGAGAGTAGTAGGGAGTATCGTTATTAGCACGGGGTATATTTGTTAACTAACCTCTTTGAATTTTCACGCCGTGCAGATTCATTTTAAAAAATAAAGGAGATTATTACTCATACTGTAATTCTTCCGCCCCAAACTAATCGTACGTCTTTTATCCTGGTTCACTATTTATTTGTCAAATTTTTTCGATTTTCTTTACTTATTTTTGTTAATTACTTTTTAAAATAACATACTCCCTCCGTTTGCAAAAAGACTTCCCATTTTAATTTGGGGGGGAAAAATAAGGAAGTGTTAAATTATACTACGTAGTTGATTTCCAATTTTGCTCCTGATGTGATGGGTAAAAGTAAGATGTGATATTTTGGTTATTAGAAAAAAAGTATGATGTGATAAGTAGGTATGAAAAAGTAAGGGTAAAAGTGGTTTTTTAATAGAAAGAAGAAGTGTTTTATTGGAAGTAAAAAAAATGAAAGATGAAGTGTTTTTGAGAATAGAGAGAGTGGATAAATCGAAAAAGAAATTCAGTCACATCTGGATATCCGTAATAGGACAATATAAAAAGATGGGGGGGAGCAAATTAATTTACTACTACTCACTAAGTCCCCCATTTGAACTCTTTAAAGAAGAAGAAGATTGATAATATACAGAGCAAATAGCAATTAATTATCATTATTATACGAAGTAAAAAAAAGATGAGGAAACAGTACCAGGGAGTGTCTATAATGCCCTTATTGTTTCTTCTTGTGGTCTTAGCTTTGAGTGTGAAAACCATCAAAGGGCATAATAACAATAATGGAATGGTGAGGGTCAACGGCACGCAGTTGATGTTGAACGGTATCCCGTTTAAAGTCAATGGTTTCAAAGCTTACTGGCCGTTGTTCGCGGCGGCGGAGCCTTCCCAGAGAGCCAAAGTCGGCGCCGTTTTTGACCAGGCAAGGACCCACGGTCTCAATGTGTTAAGGACTCTGGCTTTCGGGGAAGGGGGGAAAAACCACCCCCCGCTCCAGATCGAACCAGGGCATTACAATCAGACCATATTAGAGGTTTGTTGGTCGTTTAATTTTATAACCTTCTTTTCTTTTTTTAACTGTCTGTTTTGATTTTTTACTCTTTCGTGTTACGAGTTTTTATTTATTTATTTGGTGATGTGGTGGTGAAGGCGCTGGATTATGTGGTTTCGGCTGCCGGGGAGAGGGGTATAAAGGTCATTTTGAGCTTGGCGGACAATTGGAAGGACTATGGGGGGATGATTCAGTACGTGGAATGGGTACATGGTGTTGGAAAGAATTTGAGCGCCGAGCTTTTCTTCAGTGATTTTAAAGTCAAACAACACTTCAAGAATCATGTTAAGGTTACCATATTATTATTATTCTCTCAAAGAAAAAAATGCAATTTATTAGTCTTTTATTTTTTTTTGGTTGAATTTCAAGAATTATTTATTATTTTTTTGGTTGAATAGGCTATTCTTACGAGGAAAAATAAATTTACTGGGGTGATTTACAAGGATGACCCAACAATTATGGCTTGGGAGCTCATTAATGAACCCAGATGTAAATCAGATTTATCAGGAAACACTCTCCAAGTATGTTTCTTTATTGCTCTTTTTTAATCATTTTTTCTTATGTTTTGAAATCAGACTGTTCAAAACTATTGTTATAACAATGACTGTTTATTTTCACTTCCAAACAACACATGAGTTTCAACTTTGAGGTGACATAATTACTGTGAATGCAATTCAATGTGCACTCAACAAATTTGCAGAAATGGATTGAAGAAATGGCTAACTTCACCAAAACCATTGATGAGAACCATCTTCTGGAAATTGGACTTGAAGGCTTTTACGGCCAGCAAAACCCCAAGAAAAATCTGGGATCCAACGACGGATTTCACCAATTCGGGACCGACTTCATTCGAAACAATCAGATCCCAGGAATCGATTTCGCAACTGTTCACGCATACCCCGACGCATGGTACCTTCTTTTTTCTCTCTCAATATCTGTGCCCAGTCAAAGCGACGAATATAATTATTGTTATTTTACGCGGACTAAAGGTTAGGCAACAAGACGAGTGAGGAAGAACAGCTCTCATTTCTGAAGGCATGGATCGACGTCCACTTTGAGGACGCGAAAGAGATTCTCAAGAAGCCCATACTTGTAGCAGAGTTTGGGAAGAGCAGTAAAGATGAGGGATTCACCGCCGACAAGAGGGACAAAGTATTTACCACAGTTTACTCTGCCATTTCCAACACCACGAGGGTAGGGGGCGCGGCTGCCGGCGGGTTGTTCTGGCAACTGTCGATAGAAGGCATCCTGGATGCCTTCTATGATGGGTATCATGTCATCTTAAACCAGAGCCCCACGACAGCCGAGGTCATCAAACAACAATCGCGCGTGATGGGCACTCTTTAGATGATGAAGTGAATGGCATGGGTTGCCATGGGTTATGGCGGTCATTCGTGTGTACTACTGATAAGTTTCGTTCTGGGTTTTCTACGGTTCTTTCCCAGATCGTAATAATGAGAGTCGAACCGGATAGAGTTATCAGATATATTCAAATGCTTATCAAACATGTATCTTAATGAAACTATCAGAGAATTTTCCTAAAACCCTCCTTCTATGTTCCCTCTTCTTATTCCTAACTTTCTTCTCTGGCTGACTGATTCAACCAAAAATTCATGCTTGAAGTCTAGAGAAAAAGGTTTTATATACACTCTAAACGGTAAAATGAACAAAATGCCATGGTTTATTGTAGTTTTTTGTTTGTGAAATATTTACACCAGACATGACTAAAAAACCAGAAACTCAAAATGATTTAACTGATACTTGGTCTACAAATTGCTTATTTTGAATGACATCTCAACAACACCTGGTTTTAGTTTGAGGAGGAAGAAGAACGAAGAAGAAAAGGTTTATCATATGACCGTTCCGTCCTTGATGGTGGCGTTCTTAAGAACAATGGTGATCCCAGACCTGATGTAGAAACCCTCATCCACCCGGTCGGCTTCATCAATTCCCTGCAATTGACCAACCAAGATTCCGGATAAACTTCCTTTTTCGTACCCGAAGTTTTTACTGGGGTAAATAATACGTACTCCGTAAATATATATACTTACATCCTGGTTTGCAATGACCACGTCTCTTCCTATCCTGGCGTTCTTGTCAATGATGCAATTTCTGAACAGAAAAATGAATTATGAAAAATTTACGCATAACGGATTAACAGGCTCTTCTGGTGCAGAGTACCCACCTGATTTTGGTGTTTGCCCCTATTCCAATGGGAACCTTCCCATCAGCCAGTAGAGAAGCAATCTCTGCTTCTGTTTGATAGTAGTCTGCGCCCATCATCATTGTATCCTGAAACAATGAATGTAGACACACGTTACATCCACATTCATTTGATTCTTAATGTAGAGAGAAAGCCATAATGGCGTGATGTTATGAAAACGTACCTCAAGCTCAACACCATAATCTAACCGTGAACGCACGCCTACTATAGAGTGTTTGAGACTGCATTCCCTCAAGAAGCAACCATGTGAGATTATTGCATCGACCATCTGAGCCCCCAAGAACAGAAAACCATAGGAATTAGTAGATTATTGCATCAGCCATCTGAGAATATTCCAAGTTTACCCCTACTTAATTCTCCATCATTCTAAGATATGAGTTACTATTTGCTAATCAACTTTATTTAAAGAAAATTTGTTGATAGAATATGTGAACCCTGACAACTATAGCACACTTGCAGCAAACAATAGATGTTCTTTAATACGGAGTATAATCTAGGAATTTTTTTTGTATGGCCTGCCCTAAGACAGACCCACAAATCGCAGATAAGATAAGAGGGGTAGAGGACGTACCTTGCACTTATCAGCCTTAGTAGGAGGTAAGAATCTCGGCGAGGTGTAGAAAGGAGACTTTGGGTCATTGAAGTCAAACTTAGGAGACTGCAAAGATGACAAAATGCAATGAAATTCCAAAATAATGGAGCAGAGAATATAGGCAAAATCGAAAAGTCTAATCTGACCTGCTCGGTGAGTGCCAAGTTTGCATCAAAAAAGGACTTCACTGTTCCAATGTCCTCCCAGTAATCGCTAAAAAGATACGCCTGAGAATCAAACGAAACGAAGCAACTGAATTAGTAAATGTAACTCCATCAGAAGCTAGAGATGCATTGTGGGTTAAGGTCTTGTTTGGGAACAAAAATTTTCAATTAGCATAACCATTTTGGACAATTTTTTTTAATGCTGTTGATTAACTTTGAAAATGCTAAAGTTAAACGTTGCCATTAGTTGGCATTTTTCAAAACGCTAAAGGTGTTGCCAAACAAGCACTAAGTTGATATCAACTCTTACCCGGACATTACGGTCTTTGACAGCAGCTGGGATGATTTCTGAGCCAAAATCATTGCATGAAGGGTGTTTTGACATTAGAAGATCTAGCAGAACCTCAGTTTTGAAAACGTACACACCCATGGACGCAATATAAGGGTATTTCTCGGCTTCTTGATCAGAAAGTCCTAGAAGAGATGTGTCAATTCTCTGCCATAGAAAACATAATTAGAAACTATGATGCTTAGGATATGTTTGGACCATGTAAAAAAACAAGGGAAGAAAACAGAGGGAAAATAAAAGATAGAATAAAAATCAATCGACTTCTTTTACGTATTTGATTCCACTCATTTCATTTTTTTTTTTGTTTATTACATGAAGACTAAGTCTATATGTAACATTTTTGAGAAACTTTAGAATGATTTACAATAGCCCTTTTGCTTAAAACTAGGTTGTCTACCATTGTTTGCAGGGCAGGCCCTTTTAGTTTTTCAGCAAATTGTACAATGCACCCGCTTTCATCAATTTTCATCAATCCATAATCTGAAGCCTGGCTGCATGAGAGAAAAAGAAATGATGAAACCAAGATATCAAAAGTAAACACCAACTCCATCCATATGGAAATGAATGATATATCATTATTAAATTAGTTGTGTAACAATCAGCAAAACTAAACTACAAACTTCAACCACATACCTGTCGTCCATGGGCACACAAGAAACCGTAATATCAGCACCAGTGTCAACATGCTTCTGCAAGTACGAATTGCATCGTGAAGAAAGTGGGTGGTAATAAAACACATAGACAGATCAAGAAAAGTGGGTGTAATTTGCCATGTGAACGGGTGAACCAGTACCCGAACAAAGTCCATATAGTCCATTCGGTAAAGATGGTCACCCGACAAGATCAATATATGCTCCACATTCTTGGTCCTGGAATCCTCAAGTACCCATATGAATTGCCGTACTGCATCAGCAGTACCTTGAAACCACCTCTTTCCTGCTTCTCCCGGTCTTTGGGTGGCAGCTAGAACCTGCATCAACAAATATTCAACAACCCAGTAAACCAGGTATATATCTTCAAAAAAAACCCAGTAAAATCCCACAAAAATTAGGGTCCAAGCAGATTTAGATTTTCAAGGTAATAATTATTTACAATAAAGCACAAAACCATCCATACCTCCACAAATCCATCCCCAAAATTCACCCCATTTCCAATGCTATAGGTGCGAGCAATGTGGCGATTGAGAGAGAAGGAATTGAACTGAGTTAGTATGAATATTTTGCTGATTCCACTGTTGATACAGTTGCTCATTGGTACATCAATCAGCCTGTAGCAACCACCCATTGGCACCTGCAAAACAACACTGCAAATGAGCATCCTTTTAAAAGAAAATGAGAAACCTTCATGGCATGTTTTGTAGTAAAAAACATGAACACGGGAAAGGAAGTGAACATCCTTACATGAAAATGAGCCATTAACAACAAAACATTGCAAAAATAGCACGGGAAATATGTAGATGTATGGTGTAATTTGAGGCAAAACAAAGCAGATTTGAGATATTAGGGAATCATCATAACTCACAATGAACTCCTAACAAGTTAAACATCAAATAACTAACAGAAAACTGTTCAATATTTTTCTAATACCACTCATGATAGCACTTTAAAACACTTTTTCTAATAGCATTGGAGTACTTTGTATCATATAAATGAGGTCGGTGCTCTGTTTGACACCAAAGTGGTTCCTATCCCACAACCCCCAACCCACTTTTGTATTACCGATATGCTAGATGCTACAGTGCTCAGTGTAGCGCATAGGCAAAACAAGGGGCTAGGAACCACTTTGGGTCGAACGGAGCTTCATAGGACTCACAAATTGCATAGGTGTCATAGTATGGTGTCAAAAGAACCCCAATGCATATAAATACTCAAACCCACTAGGACGAGTCTTACAGCGGGTTTAGAGCGGTTTCTGGTGAGTGGAAAGAGACGGGTCCCAGCACCGCCACCCAGGATGATGGAGGCTACATTTCTTGGGTCAGCGTCAGGATGATCTTCAATAAAATCTGTATCAAATGACTGAAACAAATACAAACACATGAATCAGATAGATAGATCAGAAACCTAAACTTTTACATGAACAAGAAAAAAAACATCATTTGATCAATGTGTGAATCTGCATACCAAAAGTTGCTTGTTAATGTCATGTGTCAGGACAGAATAGGTAATCCCAGGGTTTCCCTTCTTAGCCCTTCTTCTCCCATGGCTCTCAGTCTCACTAACCCTAATGCCTCTGTTTTTATGGCAGCCCCTTGTCTTCTCACCCCAGAATCCACTGTACCCATACCCAAGCTTCTTGGAAATTGACCCTTGGTGAACATTGACATTCATAGAAGAAGCACACAGTGCATCCATAGCTATATCCACAGTATAAAAGCACAACTTCCCACAGTTTCAAGCAACTATGTATACTTAACCAAATCAAGAACGAGCATAGGTGTCAAGAAAGCTGGAAAAACCCCCCAAGATTTATTGTGAATTTGACAGAGCTAGTGGAGGTTGTTATGACTTGCAAAAGACACACCAGACCCAGACAAAGGGTGTCTGATGATTATTAGTTCTTGGGTTTTCCAGTAGGAGTGGCCACGAGGAGAAAAGGGAAAAGGTGGATCGAAAAATAAAAGGTAAAAAGGGAATTCAGATGATAATTTTTGGCAATTTCAGGCAGCAATGAACACAAAGATCTGAGCTTTTTAGTTAGTTCCCTGCTCTACTTTTGGTGAACAGATCGCTGTGAATCTCGGAATTTGGAGATGGCACTAGTTAATTCTTCTTACGGAGTACTAGTATTTTCCATTTTTAAATTCTCATTTTGCTCTTCCCATATCACACTCTTCTTGATCTTTTAGAGTTTTTAACTTCTTTTCCATCCCAAACACAAATATTCCCACTTTTGTTTATTTATACAAGTATATTTTAATTTATTTAATAAAATAATATTCCAATCATATTAATTTTTATTTTGCAAATTTTTTATAGAATAAAGTACATAATCGATTTATGTAATTTTCTCTATTTAGTCTTTTATTATCAAATATAATTCATTTGATCCTTCACTTATGGATATATTTCCACAAATAGTTATTTTTTAACCCTTTGTCATATTAATGTTAATTTGAAAGCTAAAAGTATATAATTAGACATCAATCCTACCAGTGACGTATTCTTATGTCAGTTAGACTGATAACAAAATAATATTGATTATGACTGTGGACTTGGATCCCGACAAAAAATCATATCTGTAGACTATGATTATAATAGAAAGTGATTGTAATTTTTAAATGACGCATCAGGAATGATTTCTAAAATTGTGTATGACAAGAAAGATATATGATCATTGTGAAATTACTCTTTTAGCTTTTAAACTAATATTAACATGATACATCAACATAATAAAAGATAAAAAAGGACTATTTATGGAAGGATACTCATAAAAGAAAGATCAATGGTAAAAGACTAAACATGGGGAACTCACTGTTACAAATGACCAATTGTGAAATTTATTAATTTTTTATATTACATCTTTTAAAATAATTTACCCAGTTAATAGTAAAATATAAAAAAATATTCCGTATCAAAATAGAGCTCTATATTTTTTTTATCCAATAAGAAGATTGCTGCCATTTGAAAGTGTATGTTTCCTGGGATGATGTTTTATAGTATTTTTTTATATTATAAATTGACTTTATTTTTATTGTGATTCTTATTTTAAAGATAAAAATAGAAAATTCTTATTTCAATAATTAAATAAAAAAACTATACTCCGTATAATAAATTTTGAGGGGGAGGGGGTATTGATTTGGTAAATGTTACTCCGTAATTCAAGTTTGATTGATGAGGGGAAGAATCTAGAGTAGAATGATTCTTCTCAGTATATTTAGGTCCATGAGCCCGTCACGTGGGCGACCCTATGCGTCCGGTACAGCGCTTGCCACGTGGACAGGTCATTTGTCCACCAGATGACTAACAGTCCAAAACATGTTTCTTGCGGTGGAGTCTCTTACTCTCTTCTCTCTTGCTCCCTATTTTATTTGGATAAACTATTTGTACCCCAATTTCTACTCAACCAAAAAACATATAATTGTTGGTTTTTATTCACAACTGAAATTATTTTCATTTTATTTTATATAAAAATTGATGTGTAATTTAAAATTAAAATTTTTATATTAAAAAACTACATTCAAAATCCTACAAAACAAAAGGTGATCTGACTAAGTATTATTTTGTCAAATGAGTATCAAAATTAGATAATAAAAGTCATTAAAAATTGATCTTATATAAATATAGTGACAAACAACATAAATTGGAACAGATAAAATATCAAAATCCCAACACATGTACTTTCTAAGACCAAATAGAACCACTACCCCCGTCGTTTGGAAAATAAACAAAAATACGCCCTATGTTTTAAAACTTATTTCTAAAATCTCCATGGTTTCAAAACGTTGCACTCATACCTCCTTTGATTATCTGTTTCGGCTATTTAACCGATGAAGAAGAGGGTATTGGTGCCTATTTTTCCAAACTATAGGGGCACGGGTGCTCATTTCTTATTTTTCATTTATTTTTTGTTTTTCCCTTTATTTCTTTCTTTTATTAATCAAAGTTTTTAAATTTGTTTTTAAAATTATTTTTATAACATTCTTACGAATTTTATTTTTTTTCAAAAAAATTAACGCCTTTGTACGTCTCAAATTAACAATTTTTTCTTGCTATTTTCTTATCATTTTCTAGCAATTCAAACACTATTTTTTTCATTTCATTTTCTCACAATTTTCTTTCCTATCATTTTCTTTCCTCATCCAAACAAATTCTTATGTGTTCTTATGTGGTCTGGAAAGAACATTTAGTAGTACCCGTTCCGTCTAAAGTGATACAATTTGATAATAACTTGTCTTATTGAATATTGAGAGATATGGCCCTATATATAGGGAATACAAGAGTAATCAAAGTACAAGTAGGAAAGGAAAGAATAATCCTAGTAGGAAAGGAAAGAAGTATCCTAATTTAATTATACTTCCTAATATCCCCCCGCAAGCTGATCAACGGAGACGAGGGGCAGCTTGGAACATAAGTACTCAAAAGGAACTGGCGGAAGCGGTTTGGTAAGAATGTCTGCTAGCTGCTCTGAGGAGGAAACATGATGTGGAGTCATAGTG